ATTTTGAGCAAAACACTTCATACACATGTTTTTAATATCCGAGGCCTATACTATATGCCTAAACATAGCATAATAGGAGACCTTTAAAGTAGGCTACATTTCTTGCAAACTAGCATGTTTTGTTTTATAGGAGAGCTAGCTGTGAAACATGAGGTCTTCTGTCTGTCTTATCAAAGTAACATCTGTATCTACAAGCTAACGAGGCAAGCGTTGTGGCCTGTGTGATGACAGCTACTGGTTTGAGTCCACTGTGTTTTATGGGATGTGCACAGACAGTCTGTGGCCCTCAGGCCCTCAGGCCATGATGCAGTGCAGATTAGCTTTGGATGGGAACATGAATCATGCCTGCGTGTGTTTGTGAGTGGAGCAAATCATTAGCATACAGCTCTATAAGGACTGCAAACACATGGAACAATAGTATCTGAAGAGAAACCTACAAACACATATTAAGAGATTTGTCTTAGTCTATTCTTATACATGACATGAATACAATAAAAGCTAAGAGTCTGCAAGCAGGCTATGAAGCAGGCTCTGTGAAGTGTACTAGCTTTGAGCTAAATGCTAGCATGCTTACTTGCTTATTTTAAGCAGGTATTTTAGCATCTTCATTTACAACCCAGTCTCACGGCATAAATAGTGTTATAGTCACGAAATTAATCTATTGATTCGTGTTCACCACCACGATTTCGCCATTTTCTTCGTGTCACACAGAAAGATTTTAAAAGCAATGTAAATAATAACAATTTAGAAGGAAAACAATATGACAAAAAATACAGATTTCAGTATTCTGAGGCTCTGAACTCCATTTATTTTCCTCGTGGATGGCAAAAATACTCCGACATTATACAATTTAAAATAAAAGGGATAAGGTTAGGCTTAGGGTAAGATATTGAGTAAGAAAATGTTTTTATGAACCACACAGCTTCTGGTCTTCCAAGACCCGACCGGACAAAAAGACGTGGTGCAGGCACGAAACATACTACCAATATAAATACATTGCTTTTTAAATCGTTCTTTGTGACACGAAAAAAATGCGAAAATTGTGTTGGTGAACACGAATCAATAGATTACATTAATTTCGTGACTATAACATGAAATGCCGTGAGACTAATTTAACATGTTAGCATGCCAACCTTTGCTATAAAGCACTATAGCTCTGCTAGGTTGTACTTAAGAACAGTCGAGCTTTGAGCTAAATTCTAGCATACTAATAATGATAATGCTAACATGCAGAATGTTTAGCCTGTTAGCATGCTAACATTTCACTCGTAAATGCCATTATACATTTGTATATCTATCGAAGTTACCTATATTTTAACATATGCGCTAGTTTATGTCTCATATTCAAATGTTGTGTAATTTTAAAATACATTTGAGCATTGTTACATGAAGGCTAGGATCCAAAAGTGTCGCTGCATCTGGAAATGTCAATCAAAGGATGTTATTTCTTAGTTTTTCCATAACCTGCTAACATGTACCATTTTTTTATGGCAGCGATTGTATGTTTTGAGATATTGAAAGTGACACAAATGCTTTGTGTTTTGACAGAGATGAATATGGATTACAATCCAGCGGACCATCCGCGGGCCAGCACCATATTCCTCAGCAAATCCCAGAACGATGGTGAGTAACTCTTCTTCATAGGATGTGACTGATTTAACTGTTTTAAAATGTTCTTTTAATGCAATCTATATGTCATCTCAGTGTCACCAAACAAATATGTCTGAGTAAAACACATGTGCCTTCGTTTGACATGTATCATTTACACAGAAGACACTTGATCATGAAATAAAATCAGGAAAACGCTGCTCTTGAAAAATACAATTTCCCTTTCCACTGTATCTGTAGGAGCTCTGATCCCAGACTAGTTTCTTTGTGGCCGGCTGATGCCTGATAATTTATGCCGTTGCCCAGAGGCATCCGACTGAGAGCTTCAGCATCCTGTGGGGGTTTCAGTCATGCTGTAACAGAGCAAGAAATAAAATGTATTTCAGAGCCGCAAACATCACAGCATGAGATCATCTTTTTCCATGGCGGACAACAGCAAGACAATACAAGCTTTGTGATGAAGACAGCAACTGATAAATATACTGTAATCCTCAATGTCCGACCGATATTAGATTCTGTAATGCATCAGATTTGATATTCAATCTCTCTCTGCCCATATAGAGAATATGTTGACCGTGTGATGAGTATTCGGCCAGCTGCATGTGAGGAAGGAATGAAAAAGCATTTCGTTGTTTATCAGTTGCTTGTTGTTTTTTGCAATATTTAGTCTTCAGGGAAAAGAGTCACATGTTTGTGGTCCACCCTCCCTCTTCCTGGTAGATTTAAAGGATAAAGCTGACATCATTTTAGCCTTTGATTTATTTCAACAAATCCCCTCCCAAGAGACCAAACGAGCAGAAAATCCACCCAACAGCGTGTATTAACCACATGGTGTGCCATTGTGGTTAAAACACATGGGTCTGCCATCTGAGTAAAAACTGTTTTCATGTTGTTTTAAAGCTAACATTTAACACTACTCTCTCTCTCTCTTTCATTTACTGGGTTTCTAACATTTTAGTTTTGTGAGCATTTGACCCAGGCAACGGAAAAGCTCTCCAATAGATCAGGGATAAACATAATTTTGTGTAGCAGAGATGTTTTTGTCTTTCCTCTTTTTTTAAATTATTTGTATTATTCAACTGTGTATTAGGAACACAGATCATGAACAGCATTCAACATAACATGCTTTCAACTTTTTCTGTTTGCAAAAGATTAAAATAGTATTAATCTGTCCATAAAGAGAATAAGGTCATTTTAGCATCCAAATAGCTAAACATGAAACTTGAAATATTGTAATCTTGTGACCTTTTAAGGAGCCCTGACTTCCTGGATGCAAACCACTGCGTGAGCACTAGAGAAGAGAGAGAACTATTACAAAAAATACAATTCATTGGTAAAAGATAATTGAATAAGTTGTAATGCTGAAGTCTTCTTTCATCAGGGGGCGAAACCAGCTGCCATGTCTGACCATTTGTGTCTGTGTGTAGAATCCCTCCGTACTGCACAGATGGCAAAAGTACACACATCCTTTACTCAAGTAGAAGTACAGATACTCGTGTTTGAAAATACTCTGGTAAAAGTAGAAGTACTGACTAAACTTCTTTACTCAAGTCTAGTACCCATAACTAGTAGCTGTTTTAAAGAGTACCTGACCTCCCTTTATATTAATAATAATTAATAACANAGATGGCCCCGGGCCATCGGGCAGCCCTTAATGTCGAGCCCTGTTGTCATAATACTGATTCCGGCGATCGGCCCCAAAATTGGCGATCGGAGCAGCCCTAATGACAACAGGGCTCGACATTAAGGGCTGCCCGATGGCCCGGGGCCATCTAGTATTTAGCTCGGGCCATGAAGCCTCACCTGCTGGTTGCCCGATCGGGCAATCTATTATACCAGTATAATGCAGCTCGCGGATCCAGTAATGAGTGACCCGACAGTAAAACTAAACATATCTATAACTAGTTGAGGTAGTTTGAGAGGTGATTAAAATAGCTACGTCTGATATTCTAACCTGAAGTGTGTGTTTTGTCCGCTCACCGCTTCATGTGATCATGCAGAGCTGCGTGTCGACTCGTCAGCAGCAGCTGATCTCTCTCTCCCGTCAGATTAGACTTCACTCGCGTTTATGTCCATATCGATCAGATCCAGCTAGTTCTAGCTAATGATATGACTACCTGCTTATTAAAAGACACCTAAACAATAAGTGTCGCTATGCAACCGGGTGAGGCCACAAAGTATAGCGCAGCATTATGCATTTGTTTACATGCCTACCGGAACCCCGAGGCATGACCAACAGATCAACGCGCAATCAACCCACACAGCACATCTCTTTCTCCACATTAAGTGTTACACATTAGAATGGACTACTCTTGTCTGTCACATACTCTTCTTGTCTGTCACATAAGTGGCGCAACTGAAGCGGTATTGCGCTAAAGGGAAATTATTTTGACCGGATATTTTGACCGAAGAGATTTAGATTTGCTTGCTAACGGGAACTCTGATGTCGCCATTGTGTGTGCTTCGCGGATGCACTCGGCTGCTCGGGTCTGCTCGGTCAGCTTCTGGATGAGGAGGCATTCCTTCGACCAACTTAAAGTAGATAACATTACAAACAATTTTAACAGGGGCCATAATAGTGTAAATAATGTTTGTTTTGGCAGTTATAGCTGCATGTAATGTTTTCTACTTTTTTACATCTGGGAAGGCATTTGCCTTCATCAGATGGAAAGTGTCTTGACAAACAACTTAAGTATTTATTATAGCTATGCAGGGCATGCAAGCGAGCAAACACAAACAAGTGAAATGAAGAATACAATTGAAATTGTAATATTGTGGTGGTTCATCTTATAATTCAGTCTAGAGAATGCACCAGACAGCATCTAAGACCTGCAAAAATCTAAATGTTCTTGGGGGAGGCCCCCCAAACCCTTCGTGCGTCATTTCGCCCACGCGCATTTTTCAGGGCAATCTCTATTGGGCTCAGGGCCATCTGTAAATTAGCTTAGATGGCCCACAGGGCCATCTCCCAAAATCCTTAATGTCATGCACTGGACAAGCAACTCATAATGTCAAACTAGTACAGTACAGTTCAAGTACAGATTATTTCAGTTCATTGAAATGCTGCGCTTTAATGTTTTTTATTATATTTTGTATTTATTTGAGTGAATATTCACTGTTTAATAATAATTAAAAACCCAAAACAAATATTTTATGTTTTGTGAGTACTAATCATAGTCTGGTACTAATACAGTAAAGTTTAAATACAGATTATTTCAGTTAATCGAAATGCTGCACCTTAATGTTTATTTTATTATATTTTGTATTTATTCGAGTGAATAAATTCACAGTTTAATAATAATAAAAAATCCCCCAAAAATATTTTGTTTTGTGATCATTTTTTCTGCTGTACCGAACCGTGACCTAAAAACCGAGGTACGTACCGAACCGAAATGTTTGTGAACCGTTACACCCATAGTATGCAGCCATCTAGAATATTCCCTCTGATGATCGTTTTGTCTGTTTGCCAGGTGTACTATGTGGACCATGGCTTCTCTGTGGAAACCAGTGGGACTAATCTGCTGGATCTGCACCAGGACTTCCTCTCTCTGCCCTTCCAGGCTTTCAATGTTCGACTCGCAGGTACATAAAGGATAAGTAAATTACTTTAGGAACCCTTTGTTGTGCAAATGATTAAGATAAAAGCACCCATGTCACAACTGAAGGAAAACATATTTATTTTGTTCAATGGCCCCTCTTCCTTCCCTTCATCCTTTATTTTGCCTTGCTCAAAGGTCTCGAGGCATTTGGCTCCCACGCACTGGTGGTGTCTTCTGTGGAGAAGTTGGTAGTCGGAAAAATTCTGCTGATGGAAACATTGGAGCCATGTCAAGAGAATGAGACGCCTGTGGCCGTGCTGTACGACACGTCTCAGGATGATGACATCAACATCAACTCTGCCTGCCGGAAGGCTCTCCAGGACGACACCATGAAGAACCCTCTGACTGTAAGGGGGGTGCTGCAAACTACACGTATTGTGTGAATGCATAAGAGTATTGAGATCCCATCTCTTAGAATAGCAGGCTTGACCAAACCTTTGCATTTGAAAAGCCAATTTAACTGCAGCAAAGGGGGGCTTCTCACATTTATTAATATCTCGTGACATTACACCTCAGCTCAACCAGTGTGTGGTGCTGTTGTCTTCTTCTCATCATTTTTGACTTGTGTTTGTTATCAACTAAAATAAGTCTTATTCAGTTGGAATGAAAACCAGGAGTTGGTGATTCATGATCTTTGGGTCCTCAGTGTCATTAATCCTCTGTATATTATCTAACATCTTTTTTTCATTTGCCTGTAGGTAAAGGCTACCTATCAGGATGTGTGTGTCACAAGTGTGTGTGCAGATGGTATCATCTACTGCCAGCTGCCCTCCAGAGGAACCGCACGACTCAACAAGTTAATGGAAGAAACAGAGACCTTCTTCTTCTCCCAGGTTAACAAGACTGTTGTTTGCCTCAGCGTTTGTTAGGATTGAATCCTTTGCAGTGATAGTATAAAGAAAATCATGATTAGATATTGGGGCTGAACGATATATCGTGTCATGGCGATAACCGCGATATGCGCATGCGGGATATTCACACCGCAGGGACGTGCGGTTTTATTAAAAAAAATGTTTTTAAATGCTAACGCACTTTAGCACAGAATTCAAAATAAAGATACCCTTATTACTTATCGAAACTGCACATACAATATATCCGATTAAAGCTGAGATTCCAAAGATTATTTAAGTATTGAATGGGAAGCAAACACAGACATCACAACACGTACCTTTACGGGAGATCGTCTCACCGTAGCTGTCAATCTGATCAAAAGACGTGTTCAATGGCATTAAAACGAGAAAAAACGCGGCTGAATCGGTTAATCCATAGGTTAATAATGTATCTGGCTTTGAAGCAATTGTTTATAATCCATAATTCAATTTTTATGTAAAAATCGGAGCACAAAAGTTAGCTGCTAATGGTAGCCACCAGAGTGTATGCAGCTTCCGGTTTTGGCTACGCGTCACTCTCACTCCTTATAGAGAGCCGCAGTGAAGCGTCCTTAAACCCGGAAGTAAACTTCTTTCGGTTCCTTCGTGAAAAACCAATGCAAATTCTCCATAGGATTTGGGGAAATAGCTCGAAATAAGGTCTGTGGTTGACACACATTTAAGAGAGATCACGTTTTGTTCAGCCGGATAATCTCCACATGTCAACCCTACTTTTATAATTTTTGAATCATAAATCTAGTCGCCAGAAGCAAAATGCTAACGTTATGCCAGATCCGGCCCGCGAATGAATTATCTTGGCCCCCGGGATGATATTTGATTAGTATTAGAACCGGCCCGCAGGCCACAGCCGCCTGCTTGTGTTTTGCACGCACCAAGACTACATTTCCCACAATGCAAAGGTAGCCCGCGAACTCACTGCAGCGTCGCAAGTGGGCCTCGGCTTCGTTAGTCATCAGCATTCAGGGCAGATGTCAACTTTCAGCAACCCCGCTCCCCAATAATGGCTAAACGGCAACGAAGGGAAACGAAAGTTACTTGTTGCTGCAGGAAGGAGTACGTCGAGGCTGAGAACGTGCCAAGGAAGCCGAAGTCGGGTAGCGGTGCGGCACACTAATCCCGTTCAGGGTCGGTAGAACATTAGATTGAAGGCGGTCTTACGAACGCTTGACCGCCACTAAATTTGGAAACCGAGGATTACTTCAAATTGACGTGCTCAATACAGAGAGATGAGCGTGGTGTCACTAGGTGAAAAATTCGAAACGGTGTATTCTGAGGACCACCATGACCATGCGTCACTTATCGACAGTAGTCGAGACCGCTGCAAGAGCAGGGCGTAAGGAGGGAGCGATAAGGAACGGTGGTTACGGTAGAGGCTACCAGGTGTGTTAGCGCCACGGAGGCCAGACAACAGTTGAGGGTGCTGAAAAAGGGGTCCGGTCGGGTACGAATAAATGTGTAGACCTATTAAGAAGTTATGGCTAGGAGAAGTATGTCTAGAACAGGACATCAACACGGTACGTATCCTGCATTACGGTTTTTGGAGAAGACAATACGGTCCGACCTCAGTTGAGGTGCTTACTTTTAACTGTCGACCCGTTACAGTGAACACAGCCACAGGAGTAGCGTCGTTCACCTTATATACGCTACTTTAGAAAAGGGAAAGGTGTTCGACAAGAAAAATCTAACCACCTTTCGACCAGATGTGCAAAGTCGTTGCCACACAAAGACGAGTCCGAGTGCAAAACTTTTATCGACCGGAAAACAAGACCCGTGTGGCACAGTGTTTGAAATTCGTATGTCAAAAACTATTTGAGAGGGAGACATTTCCCGGCCCGCGACTAAACGTTGAAGAAGACGGTGTTATTTTTGATCGGAACTGTCGTCCCGGAGGAGCGGAAACACTAAACCGAAAAACACTTGTCCTCGGACGGCCCCTGAATTCTGGAGCAAAATAAGAAGGTGGAAGACATCGGAAACAAGGTACAGGTATAAGAACAGAAAACAGAAACACAAAGAATCTGCAAAGTACCACGGAAGAATCTAATATAAGAAAGTAATGCCGGTGTGAAAGAGGTGTGTCTTCTGTGTGTCGAAACCGGAAAAATGGAGCACTTGTACATGAGACGGAGGGTGGACCGAAATTTGGGGACAAGAGTGGG